ATATATTTCTTTGTTCATATATATGTGAATATATCTTATATACATTAAATATCTTTATTATGACGATTTTTCTAACTCTCTCTCTGTCGTCTCAGATGGGCACAAGGCCGAATGTGTGGGGCAGCCAGTAAAAATCGAACTCAATACACAGTCATAATTGATCTAGCGAGAAATGCTTGTTAACCATTACACCACGTCGAAGTACCCAAATAATTTTCTATGGGTAGATTAGATGTGGCACAAGGCTGAAATTATGAGGCACCCAATGAGAATCGAAATCACTATTCAGTCATAATTGATCTAGCGAGAAAAGCTTGTTAACCATTACACCACGTCGAAGTGCCGAAATGATTTTCTAAGGGTAGTTTTGATGTGGCACAAGGCCGAAATTATGAGGCACCCAATGAGAATCGAAATCACTAATCAGTCGTAATTGATCTTGCGAGAAAAGCTTGTTAACCATTACATCACGTCGAAGTGCCGAAATGATTTTCTAAGGGTAGTTCAGATGTGGCACAAGGCCGAAATTATGAGGCACCCAGTGAGAATCGAAATCACTTTTTAGTCGTAATTGATCTCGCGAGAAAAGCTTTTTAACCATTACACCACCTCGAAGTGCCTAATGAAATATTATTATTACGGTGTTTGGAAAATAGCAAATGCGAACATCCATAATAGTGGGTTGATGCGGTAACAGCCCCAGTGTTCAGAGTTCGATATCAGGCCAATGATTTTGAATATTGATTTTTCAAGCCAGCAAACTTCACCCAAATAGGGAAATTAAGAAAACAACATTTCCTACGCGTTCATTTATCGACACAATCCAAATTCGTTGTTGAGATGAAATCAGCACAGCTTTTCCGTGGCGATAAGGAAGAGGTGAAGAAAAAAAAAGAAAAACTATAAAGAAAGAAAAAGGAAGAAAAAAAAGAAAGGTAAAAAGAAAAAGAAAAAAGATAACATCAATTTTCCCCTTCAAATTTTATAAGGAAGCATAAAAAGGATAAAGACAGAAAAGGTTACATTTTTAAAGAAAGGATGAACACAATACAAAGAATAAGGAAGTCGAAATTGAAAGAAAATAAGAAATAAACAGAGAGAGAAAGAAGATACAAGACAATAAGAAAGAAAGAAAGAAAGAAAGAAAGAAAGAAAGAAAAAGACGAAGTAAAAGGAAAGCTGCCAAAGAACAAGGAGGGAAAAGAAAAAAGAAAAGAATTAAAGCGAGAGGACAAATGACAATAAGAAAGAAAGAAAGAAAGAAAGAAAGAAAGAAAGAAAAACGAAGAAATGGATCAGTGAAGTCAGCAAACAGAAAAAAAAGAAAAGAATGAATAAAGCAGAACAGAATTAGAAAGAAAGAGAAAAAGCATGTTAGAATAAAAACGAAAGAACAAAGAAGAAAAAGGCGAGAAGACAAACGACAATAAGAAAGAAAGAAAGAAAGAAAGAAAGGATGAATCATAGAAAAGAAAGGAGGGGGTTAACAGAAAGAAAGAAAGAAAGAAAGAAAGAAAGAAAGAATCATACAAAGGAAAGGAGGAGGTTAATAGAAAGAAAGAAAGAAAGAAAGAAAGAAAGAAAGGATGAATCATAGAAAAGAAAGGATGGTTTAACAGAAAGAAAGAAAGAAAGAAAGAAAGAAAAAGAAAGAAAGAAAGAAAGAAAGAAAGGATGAATCATAGAAAAGAAAGGAGGGGGTTAACAGAAAGAAAGAAAGAAAGAAAGAAAGAAAGAAAGAAAGAAAGAAAGAAAGAAAGAAAGAAAGAAAGAAAGGATGAATCATAGAAAAGAAAGGAGGGGTTAACAGAAAGAAAGAAAGAAAGAAAGAAAGAAAGAAAGAAAGAAAGAAAGAAAGAAAAAAAGGATGAATCATAGAAAAGAAAGGATGGTTTAACAGAAAAAGAAAGAAAGAAAGAAAGAAAGAAAGAATGAAAGAAAGAAAGAAAGAAAGGATGAAGAAAGAAGAAAAGAAAGGATGGTTTAATCATAGAAAGAAAAGAAAGAAAGAAAGAAAAGAAAGAAAGAAAGAAAGAAAGAAAGAAAGAAAGAAAGGATGAATCATAGAAAAGAAAGGATGGTTTAAAAGAAAGAAAGAAAGAAAGAAAGAAAGAAAAGAAAGAAAGAAAGAAAAGAAAGAAAGAAAGAAAGGATGAATCATAGAAAAGAAAGGATGGTTTAAAAAAGAAAGAAAGAAAGAAAAGAAAGAAAGAAAGGAAAGAAAGAAAGAAAGAAAGAAAGAAAGAAAGAAAGAAAGGATGAAAAGAAAAGGAGGGTTTAACAGAAATAAATAAATAAATAAAGAAAGAAAGAAAGAAAGAAAGAAAGAAAGAAAGAAAGAAAGGATGAATCATAGAAAAGAAAGGAGGAGGTTAATAGAAAGAAAAGAAAGAAAGAAAGAAAGAAAATGTCGATAAAGAAAGAGAAAGAAAATATATGAAGAATGTATAAAAAGAAAGAAGATAATTGACACTAAGAAAGAAAAAAGAAAAAAAAATTAGGTAGTTAGGGTCCCGAGATTTACTTTGACCCTCCTCTCCCACTGAGCCACGTTGTGACATAAGGTCGGTTTTTAACGTTGGGTTTTTAACGCTGGTCTAAGCTGGTCACAGCTGCTCTAAGCTGGTCATACCTTGTCTGAGCCAGTCATAGCCGGTCATACCACCGCTACGTAACAGATGTTACACAACAGTGTGAAGAAAACAAGGGAGCAGAGAAGGCCTCTGTCACGGAACAAATACTAAAAACACATCATCTTCTCCGCTTCTGCCTGTCCTTCTGGGAGAATCTGAAAGAAGAGCCCCCAGGTAATTATTGCCCCTTTATTTCCAGTGAACATTTTGTCTCCCTGATGATTATTTAAATTTAATAGTTAAATTTAATCTAAATTTAATACGTTTTTACCTTTTCATGCAACCCGGTTCGATGGTTTTATTCTTAGCTAATTTTTATGGCGAAAACAATTTTTGTTCAGGGAAAAGCCAGCTCTTGCAATGAACACGTGATACATCTAAGAAATTATCGCTATTTACATGGCAAATGCTTTAACGACCTACATTCTTTAGGTCCATCAGTTCAGGCCTTCACAGCTAAGACCCGACACTTCACTACACCGGGACAAAGCATCCTCATTCCTTTCATGTTACATTTATAAGGGAGATGTTCCATTCGAAAAGATACTTCTGAAGGAACGTTACATTGTGGAACAGACTTCCGGATGTGTGTATTCCATGAACACTATGTTAGGAATAATCAAGAGTGGTCTCCCTTTGTTTTGTTATTCTTCTCTTTGAGAGAGCTGTTTCTGTTTACTGGGACTATAAAAGGACACTGTGCGCGAACCTTGTATTCTCAGTTAAATAAAGCTTTCTTAAAGCCTACACCTGCGTACTTTTCTCATTACACATTACAATCTTAACCACTTCGATTAAAGGATCAACATCTATTTTTCTTACATATTAGACATTTCTTACCTCGTACAAAAACCTCGTGCAATAACACTCTACATCGAGTGGCTCTTGTGTCTTGTATTAAAGAGAAAGTCAGATATGCAAAATACAGTATAGTAGTTCGAACGAACTTTTAGAAAAAAGAATTCAATAAGACTATGAAATAACGATTTTAACAAGTTTTTCTTATTTTTTATTTTAAACTTTCGCTTACACTACACCGATCCTTTCTGTTACGAATTTTGTTAGTTGTTTTTATGGTTAATTTGCAGTTTAGCACCCTCGCTCAGTTCGCAATAAAAAATTCAGGAATACTTACATTTATGTGCAATTGTACACACTTCATTCGAATCTGGCTTGATAAATTTGATAAAATCCACCGTTTTGGAGTTATCGACAGTAAAAAATCGGATTCATTCGAGTCGTTGGCGGCAGCCATTACTGGCATTGTTTCCATACATTCGCTGCGGAAGGTTAAACGCGGAAGAATGTAGTTAACAGGCTTTTTTTTTACTGATCTTACTTGTCTCACCTTGTCTTAATTACTACGCAAAAGAACTATTTACGTACACAAACGCTAAATGTGTGCAATAATCAAGACAATTCCACAGCGAATGTACAATTACACATAAATTTAAGTATTCTGGAAATTTTTAATGGGAACTTGGCACATGTGCTAAACTGCAAATCAACCGTTTTTATTTACGGAAATATATTTCAACAATTTTAAAAGCTTTGGTTGTTGCGGTTTTTTATCGAGTAGAATGTGGACGGCTTGAAGATACTATAAACGATTGGCCTTGTGCCTTTCTGTTTCCTTTACTTTTTCCTTCTTTTCGTTCTTTTGTAAGCGAAGATATGTTGTTATTTGAACGGGTTTTATTTCTTTAGTTAATTCGTTGAGAAAGCAAAAACACAAAGTTAACTTTGAAAATCTGAAAATCTGAAGTAATTTATAAATACTGTATGAAATAAAATAGTTTGCATATGGCGTTACGGGGTTGTGAAAAGCCGAATATGAAAAATGAAAAATATACAAACGAAAAAAAAAAACAAACTGACCGACCCAAGTATTGAAAGGCGGAAGTGGTCGGGAAATAGAATGATAAATCAGAAGAATTATTAAAATGACTCGACAGAGTATCAGGCGGGGGAAAAAAAAACCTCGTAAAACAACGATAGTCACTTCATACATTAAAAATACAGTAGATATTTGCAGTCCTCAAGGACACATGGAATAATAGATAAAGGCGTTAGTTAGATCCAGTGACAGGACTCAAAGAGTGTGAGTTCAATACTTGGTTAAGGCGATGGAGAACTATATTGGCTGGTTGTTTTCGCAAAATGTTTAGAAAGTGAAGACAATGCTGACCAATGTTATTACGTGTTCAAATTAGACCACAATGCCATAAAATCACAACACTACATCAACTTGGCATTTGGCAGTAGTATTGTTAATATCCGATCTATACGAAGATGGTTTCAGAAATTTTATTTAGAGACTTGAAAATATATAGAGGAAGAATTTAGTCAGTCATAGAATTTGATCAAATGAATGCGTTGGTTAAACAAAATCGAAAAACAACAGACTCTCTCTCTCTCTCTCTCTCTCTCTTTCTTTTAGTCACTCTCAGTACTGCTCCATTGTGTTTCTCCCTCTCTATCTCTCTATCTGTCTTTCTCACTATTGCTCCATTGTGTTTCTCACGCTTTCTCTCTCTCACTGCTGCTTCATTGTGTTTCTACCTATCTCTCTCTATTTCTCAATGCTGCTCCATTGTGTTTCTCTGTGTGTGTTTCTCTCTCTCTCCCTGTCTCATTCAATGCTGCACCATTATGTTTGTTCTCTCTCTCTCCTTTCACTCTTCTCTCTCTCTCTCCTCTCTCAGATTCCTCTCTCTTTCCTCTCTCAATGTTGCAACATTGTGCTTCTTACTCTTCTTTCTTTCTTTCTTTCTTTCTTTCTTTCTTTCTTTCTTTCTTTCTTTCTTTCTTCCCCTCTCTTCTTTCGCTCCCACCTCTCTCTCTTTTAATACTGGCCCATTGTGTTTCTCTCTCTCCTTTCTTTCTCCCCTTTCACTCAATTCTTTCTCACCCTCTTTATCTCTCTCTGTATTCCTCAAGGCGAATCGCAAGCCTTATGAAGATAGAAGATCAGTCGAAACGTCGTAATGAAGAAAATAAAGTTAAGTAAATTTCTTTGGAAAATTTCAATCTATAGTAGTAATATTAACATTGAGAGAATGCAGAGAGGGAAAATATAGTGACTGAGATGTTGTATTAAAGATATCAAAGATGAAGAAACTGCCACGATAGAACCAAATATAAAATAGAGCTCCTTTCAGAAATTCAGAGTATTGAATGTCTGTAACTTTTTGTTCAAGACAAGCAACTGAAGGAATTTATTGCTGTCATATATGGTCTGGAGCCCCTTCTGTTATCCACTATCCTTCTCCTCATCCTTTCTTCTATCACTCCTATCTGATCTTGCTCTAAACTTTCTGTAACCCCTTGCATCCTAGTGGCTTCTCGCCTTGCTTGGGGTGAAACGCTTAAAAAAAAAATTAGTCGAAAAGAAACCGAACATCTTCGTCTCATAAGTTGAGGCCAAAAAAAAAAAGGCCAGGATTCAGAACGTCTGAGAGTGTATGTGAAAGACAGGAAGGTCTTGATGGGTTCGACCATTGACAGGTGTAAGGAAAAAAGCGTCAAGGCCGTGATTCACAAAAAAAAAAAAAACTTATGGTATCTGTTGGTCAAGAGAGAAAAGTGTAAGCGACAAACAAGATGCCCAGCTATTGAGTGATTCAGTCCATTTTAATGCCAGAGTTCAGAAAAAAAAGTGCTGTTTACATCTGTCGTCCGGCACTTTGGCTTAACCAAAGAATGATAAGACGTCAATCGAAACATTGCAAATGTCTTTATTAGTCTAATAATGTTTTTTTTTCTCCACCTCGCTCTCACGAAATGAGGATTTACGCTAAAACACAGACGTTCTTGATTAGAGACGTAAAAAAATTGTTCATATGGCTAATATTTTTGTAATCGCCTTTAGAAATAGATGCAATATTGGCTTCATTTTGAATTGTTCACTACGATTTCTTTCATTTTATGCTGTTTACACCAAGTAATAAGTAAGAATAATACCCATAAGTCTCTAAGTTGTCTGACATCTTTTACATTTGTTTTTATTATCAATTTTTGACCCGTATTTCTTTCATTTTATTTAGTTGCATGTCTACACCTAGTAGATGTAATAATCTTCAGTTGTATGAATTCCATAGTTGAAGCATTGTCATTATAATTCATTTTTAACTCGTATTTCTTTCATCTTATTTTGTTGCTTGTTTACACCTAGTAGTAGTAGATGTAATAGTCCTAAATTGTCTAAATTTCTTAGATGAAGCATTGTCATTATTATTAATTTTTGACTCGTATTTCTTTCATCTTATTTTGTTGCTTGTTTACACCTAGTAGTAGTAGATGTAATAGTCTTAAGTTGTCTGAATTCCTGAGATGAAGCATTGTTAGTATTATTAATTTTGACTAGTATTTCTTTCACATTATTTTGTTGCTTGTTTGCACCTCGTAGTAAGTAGATGTAACAATCTTACATTGTCTGAATTTCTCACATGAAACATTGTCACTGATTAAATTTTGACTAGTATTTCATTTTAATTTTACTTTTTATCTCAATTGCTAGGCCGTCGTTTTAATCTCTTTACTAAGAACCGTGAAATGTTTAATCGAAAATTAAAAACAAAATTTCTTTATTATCGATACCATCGATGTATCTTTCAATTGTCCAGTCTAGGAAGTGTCCCGAATACCTTTATTTTTATACATTGTATGTTCGTCGATTCGTTGAGTTCTTGAATTGCTCAGCTTAGGAAGTGCTGTGAGTAATTTAATTTTAATAGTAACCATATAGGTTATCAATTTTAGTAAATTATTAGTTTTTGCATTAGTTTTTTTTTAATTTTAATTTTTTATTCTCTTTTGTATTTGCGTTTCGTGTTTTCTTTTTTCTTGCTTGCTTGTTTGATTTAGTCCGCTTTCTAATGTGTCTTTTTGTTTCTAAAGCTGTCTTTTGCTTTCTAAGCTTTTTTTTCTTATTCGTTTTAATGTTTTGCCTTTTTTTCCACCTCATTTTTTGCACTTCTAAAAGAGAGTCATATTAAATTTTGTAAAGAACAGCGAATAAAAAAAATGGTCGAAAATGGTCGAAAATATTGGGTTAACAATAAAATATAATCCACAATTAGCCAGTGACAAATAATATCTACTTTGAAATTTTGCGAAATACAATCCAACAAAAGACAGCATCAAGAGACATTTATCTTGGTTCACTCTAGATCGTCCGTGTTGCATTTGTAAAACACTTCACGTCAAAGAAATGGTGCTCATTGCTGTCTTGTTGCGAATCTTCCACTGTATCTATTTTGCCTATATCTCTGAGAAGAGGTATTATTTACATTATTCAGACCGTTATCCTCATCTTCATTGCAATATTCACAACGTTTCGGCCGTTGTACGCTTCGGTCTTCTTCAAGTGATTGTAATTTCGAACATATATATTATATATATATATATATATATATATATATATATATATATATATGTATATATGTCTGACGATTGCAAGGGCGTGAAACCAAGGTCACAAACTCACACCAATCCAACTAAATATATATATATATATATATATATATATATATATATATATATATATATATATATATATATAAATAAAATATTTTTATATAATATATAAATAAATATATATATATATATATATATATATATATATATATATATATATATATATAAATATTAAATATTTATATATATATATATATATATATATATATATATATATATATTTATGGAAATATATATACAGAATGAATGAATAAACACGAACAGATATATATATATATATATATATATATATATATATATATATATATATATATATATATAATTATTTATATATATATATATATATATATATATATATATATATATATATATATAAATAAATATAAAGATAGATAGATAGATAGATAGATAGATAGATAGATAGATAGAAACATACTTGGAGATTTAACTGTAAAAAAGAATTATTTGATGTCAGAGGTTTACACAATATTTTCTCACACGCATACAAGCACTCTCTCTCTCTCACACACACCCACTCACACACACACACACACACACACACACACACACACACACACACACACACACAAGTATCAATTCACACACACCAACGCACATACACAAATACACGGATAGGCTACCGAATCTCTATGTATTTAATTAATTTTCCGGGCTGTAAACGGCCAAAGGCGCACAACCTTTGGGTTTTTTTTTTCACACACATATTCACAAATACAAACGCACACACAAACACTCTCACACACATATAAACACACACACATACACAACCATTTACAAATCCACGCTCACACATACATTCAGCCGAATTTATATATATATTTAATTAATTTGGGGTACCTCGAGGCGGTGTAATGGTTAGCAAGATTGTCTCACTAGAGCAATTATGACTTAGTATTTAGTTCGATCCTCAATCGGCGCCCCATTGAAATCTTGAAGAACATGTTGAAACGCTTGAAAATTTTAGAGACAATTTTTTGTTATTATTAAAAATTTTAATAAGAATGTTTGATTTTTATGGAGTAATTGATAGCGGCAGAGGAATCGGAGAGTCGAGTTCAAATTCAGTCGAATCCTTCACATTCACTTACGTGCTAATATGGAAATGAATGAATCCTCTTCATCCACCCAGACAGGTAAACAGTAGAACAGACCGGGTTCTATTTATATATATATATATAGTCTACCGAAGAAAGAAATGGCAAAATATTGCGGGAAAGAAAATTCTCGTCAGTCATGTATAAAAAAAGATACATGATCGCCTGTAAGCGTATATCACGCATGGTAAATAACTGATTGGAATGTTTAAGCGAACACTATACATCGCAATGAGTGATGAATGCTCCCTTTAAGAAGAAGCAGATTTTGTGTGTGTGTGGATTTCAAGGTGGGGCCAGGTGATGATGAAGGTCCAGACCTAATTTCAGTGTCAAGAATGAGTTATTGGCCGGGAATTATGGAATTTAGAATGTAGGGGACTGACCAATATCTAGAATCGCTAAAAGGAATGCTTATCTCGCGCTTCAATATATGGGTTTACACTGGTCTGAATTCATTACGAATATTTCCCAGATTAGTTCAATATCCACGAATGGCATTGCGTATATTGATGATATAAATCGAATTCATCGTTAGTATTTTATTTACATTGGCAGAAACGACTATTGTCCTCATCATTTGTCGCCATATTTATCACAGACTTTCGGCCGTACAGATTAAGGGCTCCGGCCTTCTTCAGGTGGTTGGAATGTTTTTTTGGGGTAGACCATGTTTAATGGATGTCTTGTTATGTTATCTCCTGTTAATTTCTCCATTTATGTTCTCCACTGCCTGGACCGGGGATTGAATCACACTTTTAAGTCCAGTAATGGATAGGAAAATAATTATTAAACGAAAGAATACAAATGTGAAATGAGGTCATCGATAAGAATTTCGGGTTTATAAATCATTTACAATTTTGCTGTTATCATTACATGTTTTTACTCAGAGCTCATATTGCAATTTTTGTTATTATCGCTTTTCTCTGAGCGACCTTATTTGTTTCCCATATTGTATTTATTTTATATGGTCGGCTCAGGAGATTAATTGTAATAAATATGGCGACAAAGATGAGGACAATATCCGAATAATGTAAATAATGTACATAATATTATCATCTCAGAAATAGAGACAGATACTCGTTAGTATTTAATGAACGTAACAGACCCAGGTAGAATTTGAACTCAGACATGACATTTCTATGCAGATAATCGAGTGAAGTTTGTATTAGATTACTTGAAACTTTAGGGAGATTTTAGTTTAAAATTTGTGTTGAAATCGATTTGGATTGAAATTAATTTTTCGTTTTTCGCTAAATGCGGTAGCGTATAAATAAAAAAAATAATGTATCGTTGAACTCATCATGATGTAAGTAACCTACATACCGAGTCTGAACGAAATCAGAGGAAAATGTTGAATTTATTGATTTTTGATTGGCTTTATCTATTATTGAT